ACAGGACTATGGAGGCTTATTACTCTTGGCTACAGCATCAGGAAATGCCAGCATGGTGAACAAGCTAGCAGAGGGAGCAGAAAAAGATGGCAAGAATAATGTAGCATTTATGAGCTATTTCTTGCAGGGAAAGTAAGTAGCAAATAAGGGCTTGTTTTGATTCTATTTCTATAAAACATGGAATTCCGAGACTAAGTGTAGATCACAATACAAATTCCCAAGCTAGTAACCTACCTGTGGCAACTACTAAAATAGTTTGTGGCACACTCATGCCTGTGCACATCAGCTAGGATAGAAGCTATCTAAAAATGTGAAATATGAAAATATATATCTCCATTTTTATAGAATGGCAAGAAACTATTGACTTCTAGACTTTGTATTATACTGTAGTGCTATATTTAAGTATTTAACTGTTAATGAGAACAATGACTAGAAATAAGAGAGATCAAGAACTTGAATAAGTTGGATTAGTGCCATGTCCCTAATATAACATAATAATGATAACGAGGGATAAATTTGAGCATGAAGCTCCTAAAATAAAAATAGGGATGTGTGATGTATGTAATTTCAGCATTTACTTCGGTGTGCCTTTTCACGTATGGCCTTTGAGAGATTTTAATTTTAATACATTTACCATAAAATACATAGAAACCTGAAGTTAAACTTCTTCGTTCTTCATTAATTTTGGTAACCTCATCATAGAAACAATCAAACTGCAAAATCTACCTCTATTAATGCATTGACTAAACTTCAGTTTTAAACTTCTAGGCTTGACTCCTGCTTGGAACTCTTAATTAAAACTGGACGTTTGCCTGAAGCTGCCTTCCTTGCACGTACATATTTGCCAAGCCAAGTTTCAAGGTAACTTTAAAATCTGCAAAAAGTGAGAGTGCTGATTTTTTTTGTGCATAAAGCAAATGTATTTTTTTTCTGCTACCAGGGTAGTTAAACTATGGCGAGAGAACCTGTCTAAAATCAACCAGAAAGCAGCAGAGTCCCTTGCTGATCCCACAGAATATGAAAACCTTTTCCCTGGATTAAAAGAAGCTTTTGTTGTGGAAGAATATGTGAAACAAACTCATTCTGACTTGCGGCCTGCCAGGGAATACCCACTTGTCACTGTAAGCAAGCAGAAGGGTTTTTTAAAAAAAACTTTTTATGGGTACACAAATTCTCAAATTGTTTTACAGAAAGACTTATTGCTTTAAAGCATGCTGATGGAAGTTCTCTGCTGTTTTTTGTTTTGGTAGCCAAATGAAGAAAGAAGCTTACTGGAAGAATCGAAGGGTTTTGAACCTTCAGGAGTAATAGTATCAGAGGTCAGTGTTGTAGCTGCGCAGCAAAGTTCCAGGATTAGTATTGTGCAATAACAACTGCTCTGGGGACAATTCCTGCATTTTAATGGATATGTTATAGCATTAGTTTGCCTTTTACTGTGATAAATCTTGGCTGAGTCACTTGTCCCCTTGCTCAAAGATGTTTACTGAATGCACTCATAGATGTTGACTCGAGAGAATACTCACCAGTAGTTTCATTACTTTGAGTTGATCTCCTTCACTTGAAGTTTACTGCTTTGTCCGTATTTGAATGGGAAGATATGTAGTGCTACCTAAAATATTAGGAACTCTTAAAATATCGTGGATATCCTCATGTTGTTACATTTTGCATTCTTGTCACATGTGAATAATTTAACTTACTGAAGACAGCTGCACATATCTGGACCCCTTCTCCCAGGGTAAATCAAAAGCATGCATGCTGACTTCTATTGGAATTAGATACTAGGTATAAATCATTGACTGCCATAAAGAGGAATTTATTATTTTTGTTTGTCGCTTGACCTCAGGACAAATTGACTTTGTTTGGAGGCTGCATGTTAATCTTTAATTGCAAGTAGAACCTCACTTGTTCTAATTCCAGCTTAGAGAGTTGAGACTACTTAGTTCCAAACTAAAAGCTTGTTGGGCAGGAAATGTAGCACTGCACACTGACTGTCTTTCCTGGTTTATAGTTGCGGACAAATTGTAGTCAAGTTCTGCTCTGTTACACCAGTGTGGTTGGCTCTTTTCCTCAGTAGCACTGTAGTTATGTGATTTGTAATGAGAAGCAGAATATGGTCCTAGAAATTGGAATAGTATTTTTTTCTGATATTTGGAGTTGGAATGTCTGCTCAGTCATAACATGACAACGCATGGTCAGCTATAATACTTGTAGGAAAGTAATAAATTAAAAATACTGGCAAAAAAGGTGTGTACTAAAATCTGCCACTTGATATGTACAGTTGCTGGTGCTATTTCAGTGTCTTTTACAAATGTGCTTGTTTAACAACAGTACAGCCACGATGGGTATTTTTATACACATACTACTTTTTCCAGCGATGCGCCAGAGATCTGCCACTTTGGAGCTGACTCAGTTAATCGAGTTTTCTTCGCACGCGAGCTGAGGCAAACTGCACTGCACCGCATGCCATTGTATAAGGTGCAAAACATGTGTCAGCGTGCACCTCCAAGGTGCTTTAGTTCAAAAGCACGCAGCCGCCATTTTCTCAGCACTGACACGCCTTTTGCCGCACCTGGCACTGCAATGCATACATGTGTAAAAATGCCCTTAAGCTATAACTGCTCAGTTTAAAGATGCTAGTGCTTCATGAGTTAAAACTGTAGCCATTTTCTAAAACTATAGTTGTGATTTGGGGCTGTCCTTAAATCCTTTTTTACAAAATAGGGGACAACACAGTATTGAGGACTTTAAAGTCTCCCTGAAGTGTTTGCTACCCTACCTCACTTCCTGCAGTAAACTTATGTATACTTAATCTTATTTGAACACCATAGTTAAGTCAGTTTAGACCAAATTGTTGGCCCAGGTGTGACGTCTCTTAAAATGGGAAAGAAAATGTTGACCTACTGGTGTTCTGACTTTTCATTAAAGGTGCCCTGCAGCACTGAAGACTTCCTTGCATTAAGTGTGCTTCTTAGAACTTAACTTCTAGTGCTAGACCCTAAAATGTATGAGTTTTACATTCTTAAAAAAAACTTCATGTATGAAGTGAATTAAAGTTTTTAAATGGAATAAGAGTCATTCCTTTACTGTGGTGTTGCCAAAAATGGCTGTATCAGCACTGTGTCACCTCAAGTACAACTCATCTCAAACTATTTAAGCCTCAGCAGCAATGGAGTACTGTTGTAAACTATTTAACGATTTCCCATACTTGAACAAGCCTGTCCCTTTGGGGGAAGTATGATTTAAACCTGCCTAATTCATACTCATTCATATAGTTTTGATTCATGATGGTGTAACTTGTGAATTTGAAATCTCATTTTCATCTTACAAAGGAAACTGAAGAACGTGTTCCATCTCCTAATCCAGTAATGGTGTCTCCAGTTCCAGCAATGTCTGAACCACTTCCAGTAACAAAAGATGAAAAGGTATTTAAATGTAAATGTTAACAGTATATGTGAGAGGAAGAAAAGCAAGTATTATATTTACAACTTCAGACTTCCTTGACTACATAACACAAAATATCCTGAAAGCCTCAAAACTACCTTAAATTTTCACTTTGATGTGACTGGTTGCTGGTTATCTACACTAGTGCCTAAGGACAGACTGAGTCTTGGTGCTGGACATTCCCTCTCACTAAAGAAAGGTTGAGGAAGTTTTTACAGAACAGCAGCATGGACTGTGTTTAAAGGCATCAGCTTCCATTCAAAACACAGGTTGTATAGTTGGGTCTTAAATGACAGTAATCATGTGTTAAATAGCTATTGCTGATATCTGAATCTAACATATTCCTTTACCACCTCCAGTACCATAAAAAGTTTTCAAAAACTCAGAAAACTTAGCAGTTAAAACAGGGTACTTCTACTTACCTAACTGAATACTTTCCTTCTCCCAGGCACTACTAGAATTGGAAGAAGAGGATTTAGATAATTTGGATCTGGAGGATATTGACACCACAGATATTAACCTGGATGAAGATATCTTGGATGACTAAACTAAACTTTTCATTTTAAGTGACCAAATTCTTAATTGCTCACTCCCTACAGAAGAGTGGAATTATATGGACTGTGTGTGTTGGAAACTAGCTTGATTTTTATACTGTAGTTCAAAAACAGATACAAGATCAGGGTCCATCTGTTTCATAAGGTGAATCTTTAAACTACAATATTTTGAAATTCATTATGCAGAGCACCTTAGGTGTAATAGACATATATGTTGTCATGCTCATTAAGAAATAAATTGTTTTAAACAGACTAGTTCTACTTTTGCTCATGTTGCTGCTGGTATTAACTAGTTCTGGCTATTTTAAGGAAGTTTAACATCCTACAACAAATACGCAAAGGAAAACAATCTTGAAAGCCAGGCATAATGGTGGTTGAGGAAGTGTTACTGGCAAAACAGACTACTTAAAATGCTAGTTACCACATACCTGCACTTCGGTCTAAAAAAAAATAAGTCTTAATTTTCAAGAATGCACCTCCAGAGAGTTCAGTGAATTGAAGACTAATTCTAGTTGAAATAGCTCTAATTAGCAACCCCACACCCACATACTTCCTCTCTAAAGCCATTCGTTCCCATGCATTTATTCTATTTAATCTTACTTTATTTTTAAAATAGATGAAATTTGAATAAATTAACGTTGCACAAAACATTTAATTTTTCTTCGGTCCCTTGTATCATCGTTGTCCCAGTTCCACTACTGAAATACAGGCAATAAGGAAGTCTTTCCCATAAGTTTGCTTATTATTTGCAAAAGCAACACAATACCATTTTCTGATAACAAAGAGAAGGCAGGTGCACTGTGCATTGTTTTGCTGTTTAGTGCCTTTTTTACCTGAAGTAAAAATGCATAGCCCAGGCATATGCTCAAGTGTTTATTTTGGTGTTATATACAGAGTTAGCAATATGCAGCTGCTTTTCCATATATTAACATGATGAAATAGATTTAAAATTTACCAAAAGATTAAATAAGCCCCTTCCTATTTCATGAAGCTTCAGAATTAGTCAGTGTTTCTTGATAAGCTTGAAGGGCCAACTCTATATAGCCTTCTTTTTGTGATTCTGTTTTTATAAATACCTGTTTAAAAAGAAAATAGACATTAATATTTAGTCCATCCGTCTATGGTGTATTAGCAATTTTATTTATAAATATACAAAGTGTTCTCCATGGCACCTATACTGCTACTTACAACCAGAAAGTCATTGTGTGATTTAATACCTCTACGCATGAAAGTACATATTTTTATACAATCAAGTCTAAAATACGGAAAGAAAGTTTGAGTACTGAAGCTTAGGTACCTTAAGAAAAAATTTAAATGCACTTTCATTTAATAAGAAAGCATACTATACCTTTATTAAGTCTACCCCATGAAGTTCCTGTTCTTTGGCTTCTTTTGCTGACTGGCATTCAGGATGAACCATGTGATATAAACTGATTAAACTTGTAGCATCATCCAGTCTAAACAAATTAAGAGAGTCATCAACATCTGCTTTTCGGGGGGGGGCAGTTAAAACTTAGAACAATTGCACAACTTGTGGCATTGTATAAAAGTACATTAGTACTTAGCCCATTACCAACTTACGACATGGAGATAAGCATTCCAGAGTTTCTCTTTGTCCATTTCAATCTCTGTTCATGCCACGCTGAGGAACATTACCGTGAACCAGTTTCTTTGTTCCATTAGCCATATACTGTTTAAACCTCCCTCCTCCAAAACAAGTTTGAGCACCCTTTTCCTATTTTAAAAATGTGGTGTGGCTTTAAGTGGTGATTACTACTTAAAATAACCTCAAGAGTTCTGCTAGAGATTGTTCTTTCCAAATCTGCTAGTGTAGGAATCCACTAATCCAGTCCATTTCCAGAACACTATGATCCAAGAAGTTGTTTTTCCATATTGAAAGTTTGAGATTCTTAAATCCCTGAAAATATGGCTGAAACTTGAGTGAGAATAAGATTTACATTAATACTACAGGTAGACAGACTCATTGAAGCCAAAAAAATACAGCATATTTGGAGAGAGACTTAACAGGAAAAGTGATTCCAGCAATTATGGAAGCTTCTCCGTATGACTTTCTAGCTTGTGATTTGACATGTACATCAGTTTGATGCAGCACTAGAACACAACAGATCTCACTGATCTTTTAAAGGTAAAGTTTCATGCTCTAGAAAGAAATGTTATTCCTACCACTGAGTTTTTTGCCTATCCAAGTTCGATATGAAACACTTCTAAGCTTAAAAGCTTCCCTTGTTTGAATTGCAAAATTAACTTAGTAACTGCTACCCAATCACTCAGGAAAACTTTAAATCCTAGATTCCACTGGTATTAAGAATGTTTTCTAGTTTCCACTATTTCAGCTGACAGCTGTTTAAAAAAAAAAAAAGATGCATACCCATCCAAATGTTAAATAGCGTATCATCTCGTAAAACCATTTTTATAAGCTACCCACAGTACGCCAATACTTCAATCATGATTTTTTTCAGTAGCTATTAAAAGACTGACTTGTAAGGCCAAGCATATTTTTAGCCACTCAAGTGTTCTGTTTCCCCTATTTCAGCTGACAGCTGTTTAAAAAAAAAAAAAGATGCATACCCATCCAAATGTTAAATAGCGTATCATCTCGTAAAACCATTTTTATAAGCTACCCACAGTACGCCAATACTTCAATCATGATTTTTTTCAGTAGCTATTAAAAGACTGACTTGTAAGGCCAAGCATATTTTTAGCCACTCAAGTGTTCAGAACCCTTAGAGCAGCTTCTGCTCTTGAGTAACTTTTAGTTCCTGATGTTCATGGAAGTGAAGTCTAAGAACAGCTGGTGAGAGAGACCCACTATAGTGCAGGTGCTCTTGGACAAGCTTCTGAGACTCCAGAATACTTACTCTGCCATTCGCACCAAAATTCAGTAGTTCTTCATTTTGGACAAATATAAACTTAGGATTAACATGGTATTTCATTCAGAACACTGTTCTTGAAGAGATATACTAACATATGCTATTTATTTGTACTGTTAATTCTAAAACAATTAATAGGATTAAGTTAACAACCTTCAGGGTCATCATTGCATTGCACTAAGGTGAGCAATGGGCTGTAGATTACAACTGCAATTAGAGATTCCTTTAAAAACAGAAGTTCCTAAAAAAATGACTCAATAGGCCCAACATACTATTACTGGTACACTAGAGAGCATAACACTGACATGTAACGTTTTTTAAGGATGCAAAAGTATTATAAGTACATACAATTACTTAACAGTCATTGTAAATAATTTCTTGAAGCCAAAAACCTGATTTACCAAACAAGCTGAGATGAGATATTATGAGGGGTCTCTTTTATTTTGATGTTCCAATACCCTCTTAAATTGTTTTTGTTTTCTTGTTGCTCTCCTATTTACATTATTCTGTTTCCCTACTGTAAGCTATCCTGAGCCTTTGTTACAAAAGGTAGCAAATGAGTAGAATAAATACATACATGAAAAAATGGGGTGGACTGGAGGTAGGTAGGCGAGCTGTATTTTTGTGCTAGACTTAACAACATTTATTTTGTGTTATCAAATTAAACTTCTGTTTTTTTTTAAGTCATGCCAGGAGCTAACAAATAGTACTTACAAGTCTCTCTGGATCATATCCATTAGCAAGCCATCGGTAGTCTTCTTGTTTACTAGATACCACACCATTCCTCCAAAGTGTCTTGTTGAACGTAGCAGATCATATTTGGCAGTTTTATCAATATCATCATATATCTGATGATGAATCTGCCCAAGTAGAAGTTGGAAGTTAACGTTAAGAACAGATTTCAGAAAAAATCACTTTCAAATTCCCTTTCAAGAACCTCATTTGTCATTCTTGGCTTGCAGTCCTGATTATCTTCAAGTCTTTGTTTCACTTCCTGACAATATTCTAATTTTTTCAACGCCTACAGGCTCTACAGCAGTGCTGACAGCACAAACTGCTTCAAAGTTGTTAATCCTATATTGTAGGATATGCAAGAGTCCTAGTTCTAAACAATGCCTCATCACATTAGAATATTCCAACTACCATGGGTTGAAGGGATCTCTTTTTATTTAAGGCCTTTTTCTTTTTAATATAACTTTTTCACCCACCAAAAATGTTAACAATCTGAAGCTCATTTCACTAATTCAGAAATACTGAATCCCAGCCCACAGGTGTCATCTGGTCCCTACAGCCCTACCACCTGGCCTATAGGGCTGCCCACCAGCCTGAACATTTGGTGGCAAGGTGGGGAGCACTAGCAGCATTAATTGCTCCTCCCCTGCACTGGCATAACTTGGAGTAGGAGACTGGTGGGGGCAATTGCCCTGGTGCCAATTTATGCAGGGGAGAAGCAGCTGCTGTGGGCAGCTGTGTTTCCTAACACAAATGCAATGGCAACCAGATTTGCTATAAGCACCTGGTCACATCCTTACATTACTGGTCCCAAGGGCAAGGTAGCATGGCCCTGCATAACTAATTAGGTACCAGGGCCTGATCCCAGCACAGGGAAACTTTGCAGGACCCAAACCTGGTAGGCAAAGGCAGTACAGTTTGCCAGGGACTGATCTCGGTGCATGAGGCCTGATCCAGCCTGTGGACCGTCTCCATGCCACTCATTTGGGCCAAAAGGTTGAGCATTGCAGCACTAACTGAGTATGCTTAAGTGACAGGACCGATCTTGTAAAGAAAAAAAGAGAGACAAGAGTTGTACACTCAGCCAAGTCGTCCACATAAAGAACCAGTAACAGAGAATCTCCAATCTCGGTGCTTCAAAAGAAACAAGCAGGTAAAATGTGTCCTTCTTTAAGAGGCTGTATGGCTACCATAATTCAATCTTGGATAATAGACCAATAATTTATCTTTTCATGAAGTAATTTTCACTTTCCACATAACAACAAAAGGTGTTATTTTTGGATTACAAGCACTGCATGAAAAACAACAGACTAGCATTTTACAGCAGAAATGTGCACCATTACTAGGGACGACAGACAAAAAAAAAAAAATCTTACAGTAGAGCACAAAGTCATGTTCCTGTATTTTCAATGAAAACTAGTAAGAATTTTACCCTATGATACCCCAAAAGTTAATCAACATTTCCAGGATCTAAAAATTAAGGTTAAAAGCCTGTATCTGTATTGATTTCAAGAGGGAGCCACTGAACACTTTGTAGTTCCAGGGGGAAAAACCCCCCAAAACAAACTGCTTAAGTATTTTAATGGAGACATGTAAAATGAGAAGCCAATTGTATTTCACTTTGGCTAGTGCCCATAAATAACTGCAAGTAATGACACTTTTTTTAACTTGGAATATTTATGTTTTAGGATTTTGTTCCAATCAGATTTTGTGCACAAAGGATTTTACTCATGTTTGTAATACTGAAATAACTGGATTATTGTCCACCTAGATAAAATTGTACAAGGATTAGTTTGCACGAGATCAAATGTCATTTTTAATATCAACAAAAATAATTGTAATATTAAAAAAAAAAAGTAATTTAGAGCACTGCCTGATCAATTGCTACATCTGTGAGACAACTTTAAATTTATACTTCTATCTGAATTTTTTTAGTCAGCTTTTACTATAAATCTTTCACATAGCAAGAGAGAAAACATTTAGGCAGGTGGTAAACTTATTAACTCAAGTTGATAAGACTTCAGGGCAGCTGTAGCCAAGCTTTTATAAATATTTTTGAAATCTGTTAGACTTCCAGTTAGTGGTATTCCTTTAACTTTTTAACTGTATAGAATCAAGTTTTATATGCACCATTGATATTGCTTGTTTCAAAACAATCCATAATGTCTGGCAGTTAGATTACCTGTACAACTATTCTTTTTTGCATTGTCAAACTGATAAAATATTTATGAGAGATCTTAGTCACAGCGGGTGCATCTACATATGCAGTTAACGTAACACAAAAAAACTCCGGAACAGTTCAAGCCACAGGAAACTGCTCGTAGTCACAGCATCTACACGTGCACCCTGGACAGCAGTAATCTGAGCCGGGGTAGAGCATGTCCCGGCTAGCAGGAGGTACAGGGGGTCAGCTCCAGATGGCAGTGTTGGGCTGTGGAGAGGCTGGCTGAGGCATGAGGGGGCAGAACCTGCGGAGCCGTGCAGTTAGATGACAGCCAGGAGTCTGGCCCCCCCCAACCGGTCAAGGTCTACATGTGTATTTCAATGCAGTTAAGTACTCGATCATAAGATAGTGCTGTGTGCGACAGTACTATCATACATCAGAGTTAATTAGTTTACTGTCCTAATGCCAGCACGTGTAGACTGTGACTTCACTGCAGAGCTAATTATTCTACTCAGTAAAGCGCAAGTATAGATACACCCAGAGAAGGGCACGTTACAAAAATCAACACGCACATTTGCACCTAACTGAAAATGTAACTATTCAACTATTAAAAGGCAATTATATTTGTGCTGTGTGCACTGCAACAGTTCATTTTCACATCAAAATCTACAAATATTTTCACTGGGAATCAGCTTCCTATGACAAAAAAAATATTCAACTCACTTTGATATAGTCAGCTGAATCCGGCTCAAACTGTGAAATGCAGAGATTAAGGATATCTTCATGACGGTCTTGATGTAACACTTGCTGAAATGACCGTTAGTTGGAATTTACAAATTAGTTTTAGGATGTCCCCAGAACAGTCCATAACTAACAAAAAACCCAGTAATTATGGCACTAACACCTTGGTGAAAATGACCACGGATGCAAAATAGCTGCTTTTAATTCTACTGTGCCAAAATAAAATCGTAGGCAACTCTTGATTCTCTCTACCATGGTGTATGCATACGAGAAGTCTAATTGGGTGCCTGATGAATCCACTTGTATGGAGTCCTGCCACCATTGATACGTATGCCTAGGCAAGAATATGGAGGAGTGAAGGCTGTTCAAGACCTACGTTTAGACCACCGAGACAGAATTCAAAGGTCAGCCCGATTCAAGATGTTCGGTGCTTCAACCACTCTAGCTTCTGCCATACAGCAACAGATAACTGCTGCTGACTGCCCAACACCTCAGCAAAGGCTTGTTTCTGTCAGGGTGATATCCCTTAGTCTTTCTCCAATCAAGAAGTAGCTATGAGGCAGTGGGAGCTAGGGTTCTGAGGCACCATATATTTGCCTAATTTTGGGGGTTGCAACATTGTAGTATTTTATAGGAGCTACCCTGCCAGGAGTAGCCCTGCCACACTGCTGTCAAGTCCTCCAGTAGGATGCAGTTTATGGTCACACCCAGAACCACAGGATAAAATAGAATGTCAAGGAAAACAAACTGTTTCCCAAGCACCATGTTATCTTTTCAGATTAAGAGAAAGCAAGAGTAGTCACACTTATTTAAATGTGGGCCTGTAGATCAGCAAGTACTTATTTACTTAGCTGCACAGGATTTGTTTGTGAAGACCTGTGAGTTAATTAAAATAACCTATTCTAATGAATACATAGGACTAACTGCCTGCATGCTTCCCTTAGTTCCTGTCCTTTAAGCATTACAGAAGAACTGTCTGTAGGCCAGCCTATTCAAATCTACTACTTTTCAAATGGTACACTGAAGAGCAGCATTCACTACGAATTTTCAAAGCCACGAGATTTACCACAAGATTTTTCTCCTTGAACATTGGTGGTGGAACAACTTTGCGTCCTTCTCTCGGGAAGAAGATTTGTATCATTCTATCTCGTTCTTCCCAGGAAGCTTTGCGTAATACACCACTTGGTTCTCTAACCACAATGAAACGCTCCTGAAATTGAGAAGTAATAAAAGTCACTTTTTTTTTCTTTAATTAAGCCCATCCGTCCTATTTTTTCCCTCTGTAATATTCAGAAATAAGGTTTCAGAAGCTCTGAGTGGGAAACCCAGGATAACCAGAGTGCTCCCGAACAAATAAAAGATATCAGTATTCCTGTCCTTCAGGAATGAACAGGTAGGGTTGGGAGCAGCCCAAGTGATATGAGGCATGCAGTTCTGAACAATTAGGCTGAAGGGCTCATGGTAGAGAACCAAGGGAAGTGGTCAGAAACAAAAAGAATGGAAATGTAATTGACCTGAAAATAGCTTATAGCATGTGCTGAATTCCATATCACTGCTCCTTCACTATAGTTGCTACCCTGGGTAGCTCAACTGAACCAGAATGGGTACGCTAGCATATAACAATCACCCCACTATGCAATACAGTAGTGTGATACAAAAAGTATAGAATCAACAGACAGGTATCAGGAGCTCTTCCAAGCCCAAGAAAACATAAAGCAGAATATTATTTACAACAGTGGTAGCTTTTACTTCATCTTTACAGCCATCAACACTAGACTAAACTTAGCGTTCTTCATACACATACTTTAAAAAAAAAAAAAAGATTGTTTTTTCTCCCCAAAAATCTTCACATCAAATGGATTTTTTATTAGGGTTTTTTAAAAACAAAAACTGTTTTAATATGCAAGCAAAACCCTGGCTGCAGCTCCTTTTGGTCTGTGCTCAGTCTGCACAATGCGGGGGGAAAGATATGGTGGGGGCCTCACCATCCACTATAAATATTTGATGAACTTTAAGTATTTGGCTATCAAATATTTGTATATCACACCCCCTTCCAGAAAGTTCCTGTGTTATTATATCCAAACACAATTACCTGCTGGTAGGAAAGATTGTGAAGCACATTTGTCTTATGTACTGCACATGGTCCTGAATTTGAGATTCTCTCTCAACAGATTGGTATTAGCTAACATTTTCAAATCTAAACTTGAGTCCCTGTAGAGTTGCAAACAAAAACAACAATAGCTCAGGGCATTGTTGTAGAATGAAAATATTAGTAAGTTACTCACCCTGTGTGGAGTACTGTAAGTTAAATCAGTGAACACATACTTGACAGTTTCTGTTCCCTCAAGTAGCCTATCTTCTGCTAATACATCATTAATTGGCTCTCGCTCACTTAAAACAGGAGGCATTTTTAATTTATTTTTGGCTTCCTCAATAGCTTTTTCTGTGGCCTATTAAAGAAAAATGTGTTAAATGTATACAGAAATATCACATTGTGTTGAAAAGCTAACATTCAACATTGGGCTGAGTACTTTAAAAATAAGCTCTCCTCACCTCTGGATCAATTTCAACTATAAAAAGGCTTATACTATCATAATGCAGACAATCTTTCATGGAAATGATATACTATTAATCCTGACCCAGAAATGTTCTCTCTCATTCCTTCTACAGCTTGGAAGCTGACAAAGGTAAACAAAAAATATGTTCATGGGAGGTTCTGGATTAAATAAATTGGGTGGTTTCAATCATGTCCCAAGACAGATTTCAAACCAGTAAATATTATTTGTTTAGGAGGTACTCATGATTATTGTTTTGCAACCTGAACCAGTTTTCTTGCAACTCCAAATCCCTGGGGCAACATGGAAGCAGCAGGTAAAGTAATTACAATTTTTGGGTGGATATTTAAACGTGGAACAGATATACATAAAACAACAGGGCTGGAGGATGGGCGAGCATTTCTTTAATGAAACTTTTCCCCATTGTTGAAAAAGCCATTCCCATATAAAGTAAACAAAAAACAAGAAAAAAAATTGAGTCAAAATAATCTGAGCTATTAAAAAGAATGACTGGTGTCACATTAAAATCTAGTAAATTAGTAAAAAAAAGAGAGGTAAGAGAACTTGCAGGCTTTCTAGTACTCTAGCCCCAACTGGCCTGCCACTTGCAATGAATTTTGTTATTAAGTAAAAAAATTCTATTTGGTTGCTGTGCCAGTGTCTTCTATTTTTCACATAACTGCAGGATACAAAAAAATGAAGTGTCACCAAACAGTTACACTCTTTATTCTGTGCACAAAGATATTGCATAACTATTATTGGACAAAGAGGAATTTGGTTCTCACTACACTGAACATACTGGATTTGATGCAACCTTCCAGAGATCTTGAACAGGCGTAAACATTACATTTCTTATTCAGGGTTCACAGGAATATTTCCCATTCAGCTTCCTTCACCTATTGCTTTTCAACTCCTCTCACAAAAGAAACAGCAATCAAGTGACTTGACCATCACTTAAAGCGTTATTAATTATCTGAATCTAAAAACAAAGATTTAATCTATTGTAGCAGATGCATCGGTGTGGGTGAGGGAAGGGATTCAAATACATATTCAACCATGTGTAAGGGCAGGTCTGTCAATACGACCACTGTGCTTGCAAAAGTGCTTTGGAGCTTAATTAGTTTGAAATTTTTCCAATTAAAACGAGTGCCGTTATCAATATAGATTAGCACCATACCTCCTCCAACTGTGCGTCCGTCATTGTCTTGTATGTCGCTGGTTTAAGCTTCTGTTTAAGAGGCCTAAAAATCTTCTCTAAATTCAGTCCTGTCATCTTGTAAAGCAAGCTCTGAACGGCTTCATCTGTAAAACGAGGCTTGCTAACATCGGGCGTGTTTCTCGCTGTTAACAAAAGATTTTAAACATGTTTCCGTTTATGCTCAATTCAGACAGGCTGAGAACAAAGTCAGCTCGGAGCCAACACCGGGGTGGGAGCGCGAGGATTTCACGTGCAAGTCCACCCGCCTTTGCTCAGGAGTCAACTTGCGAGGATACCTTCTCGCTCCCCTGTGTCTTTCCCTCCCACAGCTCACAGCCCTCAGCCCCGCTTCTCAACCGCTTCAGCCTCATGTCCCCCGGGCCGAGCGCCGACAGCCAGCGGGA